CATTGATACATGTAAGAAAAAAACTGTAAATTATTCATTTTTCAAATCCTCTAAACCCACCCTGGTGTCTGGTTACTACAATATTTGTAAATAAAAAGAAGAGTTTTAAAGATTTTATCCCCTATTATGGTTCCAAAGTAGTCTCCAGGGGACCATACCATAAAATTTGAATCTGCACTGAATGGGTATGCTAGCTTGCATATTAATATGCCTGTGGCACTGCAGCTGTTCCTGAGAATATGTTTTTTTTTATAAAAGATTTTCCATTTTCCCTATTTTTAATTCTTAGGACAATTTATGGCCCAATAAGTCTTGGGGACAGATTAATGTATTAAGTACATGTATTGTCTTCCTCAGTATTTCTCCTTGTTTTGTTTTAAATCAATTTATGAAATTTTCTTTTGCATGTTAACTTGCATAATTTTTCAAAATTTTTAATTCAGGTGTAAACTCAAATGTCTAGTAAAATATTTCATGTGTAGTTAAGCCAGGCTTCAATACATTAAATCAAGATCATCACTATTCATTCAATCCATATAATTTAAGATATTGATAATCAGCTGATTTTTACGTGTAAATTTGTCCATGAACCTATATGAAACTGAGAAAATTAAAAGCCAGTCCAGATATACCATAGAAGTAATTTATTACCTATGTTGGAAAAAAGTTGCCTCTTCGATAAAGGAATCCTGTGCATAATGCATCAATCTAAAAGAAGTCTTTCCATAAAAAAATCAAAAGATATAGTTCAACAATGCAGAGAGAGAGAGAGAGAGAGAGAGAGAGGAGATTGATTTAGATTTAATTAGGATTTCTGGCAGATTCTTAAAATGATGACTTCTCTCTCTAAAACAACACTATCAGACTTCAAAATTATTAACATCTCACAGAAATCTGAGAATTAATCAAAACTATGTATATTTCACGGACCCAGGTGTCAAAAAACCTATCAATACAAGACTTAGTACAGTATTATACTGTTATTGTACACAAACCAGCATGGAATGAAACAAAACATTCAAAATCATTTTCTGCTTCAATTTCATTTTATTTTCTGAATGAAAATAATGGTTTTGAAAACATAAGTCAACAAAGCAGAGGCTATGAAAAGCTGCATAAAATGGTTCAAGGTACAAGATAATTCATTTCTGTCATGAAGCTAGGACAATGTAAATATCAAGCATGGTTTGGGGATATAATAAAACTCAACTCTTATATATATTTAAAATTAAGTTCCATTAAACTCATTAACAAAACAGATCTCTACTGTAAAGTTACCAAAAAAAAAAAAAAAAAAAAAAAAAAATTGCAAATATCAAAAATGGTTTATTAATATGGACTGTGAATTAACTTTACATCATCAATCCATTGTATATGCTCATCCTACAACAGAATTGTTTTTTTTTTAATAAAACAAAAAAAAACAAAAAAAAAACAAAAAAAAAAAACCGAAATAAATCTTTCTTGTTCAAAAAAAAAAAAACAAAAAAACAAAAACAAAACAAAAACAAAAACAAAAAAAAAAAAACCAAGCAAATTTGTTTCACTTGGTCAAAGTTTACCCTGAAAGTGATGCCACCTTAAATATTATAAATCTAACTAATTTCTTATGAAAAGAAATGTTGATTTAGGATAGATCTGTCTTTTAACAATTTATTATATAGCACTCCCTCATTATATTATAAATGAAGCAAATTAGGAGATTTACATTCTTTTCTGTTCATAAAACTATAAATGTGTAGCAGTTGCGAAGATTTTCAAACAAACTACATGTATAATTTGTAGATTAAATATGAAGTTCTTTTGTAGTACTCTAGGGTCCAAGACACTAATTAAACTTTATGAAAATGGAGGGACATCAAGAAAAGTGATTCAGGGCTAATTCTTACACCTCAAATTAGAGATTGTCCCTGAATATGTAAAACAAAATCACTTCCTCTACCCAAATATAGGTAACAAAATAGGTCATCAATTCTTTGCCATTTTTCAAGTAAAAATGTAAAATCAAATAAAAACAAAAACCCAAACAAAGATATCAACAAGATGAGCTTTCTGCATTGCACCAACAAAGACAAATGCACCAAATTTCAACAAACTCAGACAAACTTAACAGTTCACTAACAAAGTTCATTAATGTATACCGGTATTTAATATATATACATTTATACACTGACATAATTACAATACAGCAATAATCTTCACAGGATGGCATCAAAAACACTGACATAACAATTTGTATTTGTTTTTATACAAAAGATGAAAATGTGAAACCAGCTTCTCTTTCCAGATACTTTTTTCTCAAACATGTAATTTTAAGAACCCTCTATACACTGCACACTGAAGAGTTCCGATTCTATGGTATTTGTATGTAGTTAGAGTAATCTGCCCTTAGATCTAAAATAAGATAAATTGAAATCTACAGTTTATCAATCAATTTCAAATCAGTTCAAGTATCTTAACATTTTGATAGGCCAAGACAAATTAATTGAACACTTCATCTGCATGCTTTTTCCCCACTGAGGTAAACATCATCAAAACTTTGTTGACTTTGAACTTTTTCCTGGGGGTAAAAGCCAGGCACCCTATGTTGAAAATGAAATAAATAAGCTCAATATTTACATCTTTGTGACACAATTGCGGTGTTTTTCTTTGAAGTTTGCTGTTCTGTATTAGCAATAGAGAACGATACTACAGTGGGCAGAGCTACTTTCCATTCTGTATTAGCCCTGTATACTGTCTTGTATTAGCCAACTGTTCTGTATCTAAAATACAGCATGGTCTAAAAATAAATCTGATTCAATTTATCAAAAGCACGTACAAATAGTAAATGCTGATTTTTTTTCCTATTATAAATTTTGAAGAAATATTTCCTTAGGAATGTAAAATGTCAAAATTTCTTAATCACTTTTAAAAAATTATTCCATGCAGAATCTACACGTTATTTCGATCCAAACGAAAAGGAAAATTCGCAATTATGGAAAACATCCTATGTTGGATAAATTCTTGAAAACCTGTTTGCTTTCCCTGCTTTTTGTGTCCCCTTCAAAATAGTAAAGCCAATGGGTTCGCGGATGCAGCATACATTACGTGAAATTTGCACCCCCCTCACCCCATTTTCAACTCTTCTCGTGCAAGCTCAATCAAGTCCATTTTTCAGGTTTTTTTTTTTTTTAATTTCATCTTAAATCCTTATAGCTGACAACTGCCGCACATCTCTTTCACTTCGTTTTTTATGTCGCATTTCAATAAGAAAATAAAAATCCGTAACATCAAAGTCCATCGAAAAACTATCTGTATCGCCTGTATGTGTATCTAGTTTAACTGAGATTTTAAGACCCCTGAAATAAATTAGGATCAATCTCCATCTACAACAAGGTTAAATCGTCCACCTTATCAATTAAGACTGACTTCAAGTCTGTTACGTCTACCCCGTTGTCAAAACTAATCTGACTAAATCTTACGTTGTCCATGGAAATATATATACTGCGGATGTATACTCCCCGTCGAAGCCTCATCTACAGAGAGAACAAACGAACTCTGGCGGAAGTTTGGATGCTGCTTAGCTATGAAGTAGGCGGGGCTTTTTTTTGATTGATCGTGTCACAAATCATTTAGAGAACTCGACAGGTTCTGTATCGTAGATACAAATTTGGGGGTGGAGACTCGTGCTACGCACTCGTCCACCCCCAAATCTGTATCTACGATACAGTACCTGTCTCGTTCTCTAAATAATACATATACAATATAATTTTTTTAATGCTAAGCAGCAAAAAAACATTTTCATTTAGTGTAGAGAGGGTCTTTTAGCCATGCACAGACAGAATATTTGTACAAAGAACACAGTTCCCTAGGTTATACCTTACTAATAGCAACATGTGATTTCTTAGAACTTATAATAGGCATCAGAAAAAGCTAGGCTCAGAGAAAGATTTAGAATCCTACATTATCATACTGTGTTCAAAAACCAGTTCTTCACTACATTTTCTTGAATTAAAAAACCAACAGGATGCCACATAAAGTGTGCATTTTCTACATAAAACTTGACATGAAAAACATGTCAAAAATCTAAATATATATAAATATATGTACAAATATATATCTATAATATTTACATGATTATAGTGCTATACAGAGTCTGGAATATTTATAGGAAGCAGATAGGAAACTTTGTTCTCATGTCATGGCAGTTGAAAGCGAGTAGTGGGGTTAAAAGTGCACAGGTAACATACATATAGGCTAATAGGTGCTCCAGTGCAGTACCACAGGTAACGTACATATAGGGTATATAATAGGTGCTCTATTGCAGTACCACAGGTAACATACATAGAGGGTATATAATAGGTGCTCTATTGCAGTACCACAGGTAACATACATATAGGGTATATAATAGGTGCTGTATTGCAGTACCACAGGTAACATACGTATATAGGGTATATAATAGGTGCTCTATTGCAGTACCACAGGTAACATACATAGAGGGTATATAATAGGTGCTGTATTGCAGTACCACAGGTAACATACGTATATAGGGTATATAATAGGTGCTCTATTGCAGTACCACAGGTAACATACATAGAGGGTATATAATAGGTGCTCTAATTTGCAGTACCCATGCTATAAAGATATACAAAAGTAACAAGCTAATAGTGGCATGAAACAATTTTTTACACAAAAAAGTCTCTAAAAATAGGCATCTCTAGTTTATACCTAAAATAAAATATTACACAAGCATATTCAGGACTAAAATCATTGGTAGCGACATACAAGTAAATGGAATGTGTACCATACATAAAACAAAGAGTGACATCTAATCTTTAAACTACATATAAGCCTATCACCAAGCACCTGTATGTTTTGTTTCCTGATGACTGACAATGTACCAGTTACAAATGTACATCAGCTATAGATGTATTCATTTATAAAATTTTTGAATCTGATTTAGGAAAATTTCCACATACTACATGTACTGTAAATGCAGAAATTTCATTAGGTATTATATTTTATTTGCTTCCTTGATAACATGAATATTATTAAAATTAAATCCAAAGGAAATTTTTTGTGGTTATATATCTAATGGTTAATTCTGAAGCAACAAAAACAAAAATAAGTCCCATCAAAACCATTTTAACATACAGATCAATGAATCAAATGAAATTTCCTCCCCATGATGAGGATCTTTGCTTATACAGTAACTAAGATTGTTATTTCCTATATAAACCTTTTTACTAGTATCAATACCTATCAGTCTATCTTTATGATGCTATGGCACAAATTTGGTTTTATAAGGTCAACAGATTTCTGGCATCCCCCCTTTGTGGCAGTGTTACATGTGGAGATCTTTGTGACATGAGTTATAAAATCTGTCAATTGAAGTACTGACCTTAAAAAAAAATCACACAGAGTTTGACATAATAAAAGTACATACATTCCACTGCATAATCTTTGAAGTTGATGCTTTTGTACAATTATATGTCCATGAAAAAGAAAAATCACATTTGACGGTGAGTTTGGCAGAACTTGGTCACAACAGAATAAAGTTTAGGTGTAGCTTTGGCAGAACCTGGTCACAAAAGAACGAAGTCCCAGTGTAAATTTGGCATGACTGACTACTGATTTGATACAATACACCACCGTGGTGTGGTCTTATATTCACTAAGAACCACCGGAGAGATGACCAAAATTCCCATCAGCTGAAGCAGACTTAATCCGTCTCAGAAGCTCCGCAAAACATATTCTCTCACTCACTTTTAACTGGAAAAGAAGCATCATTTACAATTTATAAGTGGTATCTCTTACTTCCTTTGTAAGTATTCCAGTACAAATCACGAGTAAAAAATGGCATAATATTGCCACATACAAACAGCTGATTGGCTGCAGGGGACCTACCTTAAAGCATTCCTTAAGTAGTACTAACAGTGACACTTCTTTGATTTTGACTTCCTCTGATGTGAAAGGTGAGCAGCCTGATCTTACCTACAATATTAAGGAATCGTTTTAAGCCCTGGCAAAGAATATGTTGTTCAAAACACTTAAAACAAGAGATGTTTATAAACACTTATGCCCCCCCCCCCCCAAAATAATTGGAATTTTTCTAAGTCCAAGGGGCATAACTCTGTCAAAAATTGCTCAATCGTTACCAAATAAGAATTTGACTTAGATATTTTTATGATAAATCTGTATACCAAATTTCATTTCAGTATGTGCAACCCCTGCAAAGAAAATGAACGGAAACTGCAGACAATTGGAATTTTTCTAAGTCAAAGGGGTATAACTCTGTCAAAAATTGTGCCATCGTACAAAAAAAAAAACTTGACCTAGAAATTTTAATGATAAATCTGTATATCAAATTTCATTTCATTTCAGCAACTTCTGTAAAGAAAATGAATAAATGAACAGAAACTGCAAATAATTGGAATTTTTCTAAGTCCAAGGGGCATAACTCTGTCAAAAATTGCTCGATTGTACCCAAAACAAAACTTGACCTAGATATTCTTATGATAAATCTGTTCACCAAAATATCATTTCAGTATGTGCAACCTCTGCGAAGAAAATGAACAGAAACTGTTGGTGGACGGACCAACAGACAGACCGACAGCAGCAAAGCAATATGCCCTTCCTTCTTTGAAGGGAGGCATAATAAAGTATCTGAAAATTGGCACATAAGCATTCAAAAGCACCTCAAAAATCTTCATCTGATGAACTTTACTTTTACAAAATACAATCTGTAAACTGATACAATATAAATGTACCAGTAATTGGACAACTTACATGTACCTTCTTGATTATAAACTGATACAATAAAATACCATGGCTCTTAAAATATATCACACTCATTCAATATTTTTACGACATAGCTTTTATGGTATATACTGATACATTTGTTTGATACAATATATTTGTTAGACTTTCTTTTGAGATATACAATGATAAAAAAAAATATTTCTTTAAGTTAAGCTACATGTATGAACTGATACACTATATAACTATATGATACCTGTTCACCAAAGACACCAATAAGGTGATACAAAATCATACCTGTTCACCAATAAGGTGATACAATATCATACTTGTTCACCTATAAGGTGATACAATATCATACCTGTTCACTTGCAAGGTGATACAATATCATACTTGTTCACCTATAAGGTGATACAATATCATACCTGTTCACCTATAAGGTGATACAATATCATACCTGTTCACCTATAAGGTGATAAAATATCATACCTGTGTCACCTATAAGGTGATACAATATCATACCTGTTCACCTATAAGGTGATACCTGTGTCATCTATAAGGTGATACAATACACCTGTAACTTCTCTCACCTTTTCCCACAGTTCTTCTCTGGAGTCATGACGATGACTGTACCAGATCTGGTGACCCGATAACAAGTGAACCATAACACAAGCCGCACCCCAGCAGTCACTGTCATGGGTCAGTGTTTCATCCTCAAACATCTGAAGTAAAAAGCAGTATGTTTTGTATTCATAATATTATTAATAAGTATACATAGATGATTGAGATATGACTCTGAACTGAACTTTAACAATGATTTAATTTCTGATGTAAAAAAGTCTTACAATTTGATAGGCAGCTATCAAATTCAAGCAGTTTCAATCTCTTTCAATAAGCTATGCCATAGACAAAGGGCTGAATTAATCCATTTCATTACTTGTTGTTGTTTTCTTTGTACTATATCTGTATCTAGTTCAACACCATCACATATTACCAGATATATATGACTTTTCATATTTAAAATGAAAGGGTAAACAACTCCTCTTCTAAATAAAAGCATGTTAGAGAAGTGTGATATACAGTCAAAACTCATCATCTCAAACTCGATGGGGCCGAGAAAAAACTTCCGAGATATCTGAGGATTTGAGATATAAAGTGTAAAATACTTAAAGAATAAGTGGTTGGGACTTCCAAATCACTTCGACATATCTATGGTATTTGAAAAATCCATGTTCAAAATATCAAGTGTTTGAGATGATAGCAGTGTTCGAGATACTGAAGTTCAACTTTCCCTTCCAGGTGGTGTCAATTTTGAGAACCTATAAAGGACTGAAAGGATATTAATTTTACCTCTGGAGGGACCAGACTTGGTGGGAGGGACTGTTTGGTGTATCCGACATCATATAATTCATCATCAGTCACTGACAGGGTCAGATTGTTAATGATCAGTCTCCTGTGTAAGCTGTCCAGTAAAATGTTACCCACTGAAAAAGATCACAAGATTGTTAATGATAAGTCTTCTGTGTAAGCTGTCCAGTAAAATGTTACCCACTGAAAAAGATCACAAGATTGTTAATGACAAGTCTTCTGTGTAAGCTGTCCAGTAAAATGTTACCCACTGTTAAAGATCACAAGATTGTTAAATTATGAATCTCCTAATTATTTTTCAAAAAGAAATCAGATGCATAATTAAAATGCACACAATTTCACATTTTCCTTGGCAAATTTTTAAAGAAGTGGTCCTTCAACTTGAAAATTTTATATATGGATAATTACAGTGTCAGTCATTTATTCCAGAGAGAGAGTTATCTCTCTTGTCATTTTATTACTGTATAATGGGTATTTTTGCTTTTTTTGCGAGCAGGTTAAATTTCAAAAATACATGTATAAAATCACTTAAAATTGTCACCAGCTGTTTTCCATATAAATTACATAACTCTAAGAAACCACCTGGAGAATCGCAAAAATAAAACTACAAAAATTAAAAATAAATACATGTGTTTTGGAATATTTCCACAAAAATTGGTTTGGAATATTTTTGCAAAAAATGCGATACACAGAAAAACCCCGTTATATGGTATTGTCTCTTTGGTTGTTATTTACAACCTAGTGATCAATGTTACATATTACAATTACTGTAAAACATTGACATGAGTCAGAGGGTCAGTGAACCTTAACAAGGTAATAACAAGATGTGTTTGTGAAACACTGATGCCCCCGTATGGCAGCTTATGGTGAAGGTTAGAGTTTCTCAAATGCAAGTCAAAATCCAGGCCAAAAGATAAAAAATGTTGGAACCCAAAGAAAGGTCTTGTCTCGAGGAATATACCTGTTAAATTTGAAAGCCTTAGCTGCAACTGTTCAAAAGTTATGGTGAAGGTTAAAGTTTTTTAAAAGTAAGTAAAACGTCAAGGTCAAGGTAAAAATGGTTGGTATCCAAAGGAAGGTCTTGTCACAAGGTTTACATATGTGAAGTATGAAAGCCCTAGCACCAACCATTCCAAAGTTATGGCCAAGATTAAAGTTTTTCAAAAGTAGGTCAAACTCCTATGTCAAGGTCAAAGGGTCAAAGTGGTTGGTATCCAAAGGAAAGGGATGTCACAAGAATTACATATTTGAAGTATGAAAGCCCTAGCATCAACCATTCAAAAGTTATGGCCAAGGTTAAAGTTTTTCAAAAGTAGGTCAAACTCCTAGGTCAAAGATCAAAATAGTTGGTATTCAAAGAAAGGTCTTGTCACAAAGATTACATATGTGAAGTATGAAAGCCCTAGCTCCAACCGTTCAAAAGTTATGGCCAAGGTTAAAGTTTTTCAAAAGTAGGTCAAACTCCTAGGTCAAGGTCAAAGGGTCAAAGAAGTTGATATCCAGAGAAAGGTCTTGTCACTAGGAATACACGTGAAGTTTGAAACCCCAAGCACCAACCATTCAAAAGTTATGGCCAAGGTTAAAGCTTTTCAAAAGTAGGTCAAACTCCAAGGTCAAGGTCAAAAGGTCAAAGTTTTTGGTATCCAAAGGAAGGCCTTGTCACAAAGAATACACATGTGAAGTTTGAAACCCCAAGCACCAACTGTTCAGAAGTTATGGCCAAGGTTAAAGTCTCGTGAAATTTTGCAAAAGTGGGTCAAACTCCAAGGTCAAGGTCAAAAATGATGGTACCCAAAGAAAGGTCTTGTCACAAGGAATACACATGTGAAATATGAAAGTCATAGCTCCAACCAATCAAAAGTTATGGGCAGGGTTAAAGTTGACAACAGACAGACAAACGGACAAACAGACAGACAGGACAAAAATAATATACCCCGGGGATCTTTTGATCCAGGGGCATAAAAATATTGTGCAAGTTCTTTTTAAAACTCTTATATTCTGTGCAGTATTTTGATGACAGTATTTTTATGATACTTACACGACCAGTAGAGGTAGATGATTCCGTTTCTATGGAGGAAATCTACAGCACCTAACACCTCTCGCATCATCTGTAAAACCATGTGTGGGGCAAACAACATACGGCGCTGTAACTCTGTCTCCAATGTGTCACCTGTAAACCATAATATTATCAGATTTAAATAGAGTCTACGTACTATAGCATCAGAAAATAGAATTACTACATAAATAAACCCCAATATCTCCCATGACCAGGAAACTATATCCATAGAACCTGTTTTAACACAGTATAACATTTTTTTCTCTCAAAATCAAAATAATCTCTACTTGGCTAAAGCTGACATTATTTTGAATATTTATAAACAGGACCGGGAAGTCTTAAATTACTGCTAATCAAATGACAAGGTAAACAAATCAGGATAAAGTGACCTAAGGAGAAATTAGCAGACCTTGTATGTACTGTAGACAGATGTTGGTGTGACTTTGATAGACAGCGATCCAGTAGTGGTGGATCAAATTGGGGTGTTCTAGATCTCGTAGCCTCTCGAATACCCGTGTTACCTCAAAATCAGATTCATCGTTACTGATCTACAAAGTACAGAATGCAGGCAACTCTAAGTCATGTTAAACAGGCTTTAATACATACATGTATTAGAACATGAAACTGTATTTGTTTTACTAGTTTAAACAGTATTTTATCATTTTAAACTTAATACTTTTTTTACAGCAGATGCCTAGTACTTTCCTTAACCTAAACAACTTTTCTGTAGCCAGGAATAATTACTGTAGATTCCTAAATCAACAAGAGGAGTAAAACTAATAGTTTAGGCACTGACTATAATACATGTATGTACACTTTTTACAGTACACAAGATGCAAAACTATCAATTCTGCTAAAATATGACTATAAAAAGTACTCCTACAGTAATCAGTTTTCAACAATTAATCTAAATTCTGTTTTACATTTAAACAAGAGTGCTAAAAATGGAAAAATTGCTTAAAAGAATAGCCAGTGATGAGTGTTTTCAGCAATCAGTAATTCAGACCTACTTGTTTTATAACATAGAGGGGGTCAGTGGTGGACATCTCCGAATCAAACGAGGCCAGAGGAGGGGTCACCTCGGACACCAGCGCAACATTTCCGTAGTGACCAGGCTGTTCAATCCGAGATATTACCTCAAATGAAGTAGACTCCGTGTGGTGATGTGAAGACTCTAGCTAGAAAAGAAATTTCAAATAGATTTTTAAAATCTAATTGTGCCTCAACAGACTTCGTCTTTTGAATCATGTAATATTTCTACTCCTTATTACTAGAAACATATCTGAAAGATAATACTTGCTGTACTAAATATAACACTTGCTGTACCTTAAGTTAACACTTGCTGTACCAAAAATAACACTTACTGTACTAAAGATAACACTTGCTGTACTAAAGATAATACTAATTGTACCTTAATGAAGTGTTCTAGGTCTTCTTCAGGAAAGACGTCCTCATCACAGACTGGCGTGTCAAACTGCCGCTTCATCCAGTAAAACACAGTGTAACTAGTGACACCTTCCACCTCCGAAAACCTTTCAAAGTAGGCCGCAAAATGGATATATAATTCATGATTTTGATAACAATAACGAGACACTGGATAAGTTCTCATCCTTCTGTTTAATCAAATATAATTTTACTTTAATAATGGCTTTCCAAAAGAAATCTTTATTATGACTGAAATGCAAATAATTTCATTTTCAGCAAACTTTGTGGTAAATTATAACTAAAATGCAAATAATTTCAGTGTTATCTCTATTACTAAAGGGTCAGTGCACCTTAAATTCTAATAAATAATGCCTATTGTTTTTGTATCCTTTTCTTTATTTAATATTTTCCTTATTTAAGAAAAAGATAAGTCTTCTTTCATCTGCACAGTTTTACAAGGAGAAATTTTCCCTATAAATATATGTTTCTTTAGAATTTCATTAATGTTAGCAGATGCACAAGCTTTCATACAACCTTTCCTCAGAGATGCAAAAAAAAGCTTTTAGCTCAGTTGAGCTAAGAAAGATATGGTCACATCATGTCCTCATGGGAAATTTCAGAAGAGGAGACATCAAGGTATATGCACCAAACAGTGTATTCTAACAAGGTGAAACCTAGGTGTTGCACTACTAATCACATCCTCTTAGTGGATTTACCTTCAGAGTAGATGACTCAAAGTATTGTCCACTTACTGAGGTGAGTAAGGTATTGTGACCAAATACACAGAAATTACCTTCAGGGGGGACTTTAAGGTTTTGTGCACCCTGTGAATGTAAAGTACCATATGTATTAAGATGACATCAGCTGTATGAGGTTCTTCTTATATTGCTAGATTAATTGAGAAAATGACCTCTGCTGTGCTATGCATGTCATTAATAGATTCTTTACCTTCTGAGGAGGTAACACCAAGGTACTGCATACCTCATTAATAGATTACCTTCTGAGGAGGTGACACCAGGGTACTGTGCACCTCATTGATAGATTGATTACCTTCTGAGGAGGTAATACCAGGGTACTGTGCACCTTCATTAATAGATTACCTTCTGAGGAGGTTATACCAGGGTACTGTGCACCTCATTAATAGAATACCTTCTGAGGATGTAATACCAGGGTACTGTGCACCTCATTAATAGAATACCTTCTGAGGAGGTAATATCAGGGTACTGTGCATCTCATTAATAGATTACCTTCTGAGGAGGTAATACCAGGGTACTGTGCACCTTCATTAATAGATTACCTTCTGAGGAGGTAACACCAGGGTATTGTGCACCTAATGGGAGGCTCCTCACAGTTTTTGGCGTGTTCATACAGACTGATACACAGGTTCTGGACATCAGGGGAGGCAGAGATCTCCAGGAATCCATCCAAAGCGTGCTGAAGACCTATAAGAGCTGCCTTCATCTGGAAAAATTACCAATACAATCAAATATAGAAATGCTGTTAAATCAGTATCTGTCGGTGAATTTGAAAATATTTTGTTACAAATTACACTTATTATTTCACTTTTTCACTTCATATTTCATTTTTTTTAACCTATAATATGAAAAATAACAGTTAGTTTGATATACAATCCAAAAACTATTATTTTGATTTAAAATCTGATAACTGACTTATTTTGAATAACAATCTGATATCTGACTGATATTTTGATTTACAATTTGATGACTTTTTTGACGTACCATTTGACATTTGCGTAGCGAGCAGTCTCTATCTTTACATCGTGATGCTATCTCTACACAAGGCACTGAGACATCAGATGCCAGGGACCCTTCTAAAGAAATGTTAACCAACATGATACATCACATGTGATATCTGAGAAATGTTAACCAACATGATACATCATGTGATGTCTGAGAAATGTTAACCAACATGATACATCACACTTGATATATGAGAAATGTTAAGCAACATGATACATCACACATGATATTTGAGGAATGTTAACCAACATGATACATCATACATGATATTTGAGAAATGTTAACCAACATGATGCATCACACGAAATATTTGAGAAATGTTAACCAACATGATACATCACACGTGATATTTGAGAAATGTTAACCAACATGATACATCACACATGATATATATGAGAAATGTTAACCAACATGATCAATATTAATATTTTTCTGGTGAATAACAAACCATATTCACCACCGAAAGAATCCATAATTGTATGATGTAAATCAATATAAAACATAACATATTCGACTCAAGTGACTCCAAAAAATGTACTTTCTCATAACCAATTTGAATATCCAAATGATTTTGATTCTTTTATGATCTCTTTCAAATTGCAAATCTTACCCCTGATCCCTAGCCCTGATGTTCCCAATAACTTTACAAATCTTACCCCTGATCCCTAGTCCTGATTCTCCCTACAGCCTTACAAATCTTACCCCTGATCCCTAGTCCTGATTCTCCCTACAGCCTTACAAGTCTTACCCCTGATCCCTAGTCCTGATTCTCCCTACAGCCTTACAAGTCTTACCCCTGATCCCTAGTCCTGATTCTCCCTACAGCCTTACAAGTCTTACCCCTGATCACTAGTCCTGATGTTGGTGTTCCAAATAGCCTCACAAGGTTCTGTAGACTTTCTACTTCAAAATTAAATATCTCAGGATTCTTAAAAAAAGCACTGGCAATTTGAGAAATTCCATAGCTGGAGTGTCCTGTGGAGGGGGGTTGTCTGGTCAAGGGGATGTCAGGTGTGGCAGGTACTCGGTCTGGTATTTGTAGATTTACCGATAATCCTGCTGATGAGGGCAGGGACGGTTGGCGAGCACAATATTGAGTGAAAATTTCTTTCACTTTTTCCTTTGATAGTTTGAGACTTGGTGACACCATATTAGCAATGTCTGGTGTTTTAGGATCTAAAAGGATTTCAAATTCAGGTAGAAGGACAGAGCTATCATGATGACTTAGATCATCAGCATTAGCTCCCTCAGCACAGGGACTGTTTGATCCACCCTCTTGACTGCAGGCCTTTGGATCCACTCCCTCATGAGATGAATTGGTAGATCCTTCCTCTTGATGTGATACGGGAGAATTCCCAACATTTGATGGTTGCATAATGCTTAGATTTGGTAACAGGTCATTTGGAGCTGTATCCTCTACGGAGGGTTGGTTAAGTATAGAAGTCACAACCTCTGGAATTAGGTTCGATATCTGTGCTGTCTGATCTTCATCATCTCCTAATGTAAAGCTGAAACACACACTCAGATGCAGTGTTAATTCTAACATTCATTGAAAAAAAATTGAATTTGTCAAACATACTTTCATTTTACAACCATTGCAGTAAAATATGCAGGGTATTTAAATTGAAATAAGGAAAAAAAAAAATACTGGCTGGCATTGCAAAAATGAAAGTAGAAAAGGTGTTTCCTGTAGTTACAATATTAAGTACTAAAACTCTGGTTTTCCCCAAGTTTTCAAGTAGTGACATAAAAAAAAATTTGACAGACTTTTAAATCAAAGATATACACATAATCAATGAATTGTATTATAAAGGCAGATTGCCATAATGGGAACTTATTTTTATCTTCAAAATAATACCTGCTTTTTTAAGGAATGTGAAGAAAGGGATATAATTTCAGTGAGTTATATAATGAAATTTCCTGTAATGTGACAATTTTGAACTTGGTAAACAATCTACGCTCTGTTGGGTCACTATGTGTAACAAGGATGTTAAATATAGATCAGGTAAATAAGGTCAGAGGGACATTTTAACTAATTTAAAATATATTGCTATAATTAAATTACAAGTCTTATAATGAACAATTGAACAGTCCATATGCAAAATTTTATAAAAAGGCAAAAAAAAAAAAAAGGGGGGGGGGGGCTGCTGCAGGAATAGCACAGAGAATGTGTACAATCATGTGAATTGTTATACAAATAAGAACTGCAAACTTAGGCCCTATTCAAGCATCATTGTGACAAAATTAAAAAAAAAGAAATGGAAAAATACATTAAGTCTAGAAACTATATATGAATGGTTAAAGGTATAAAAGTTATCTAGTTTTTCATGTTACTTACAATACAGTATTTTGCTTGTCAGGAATTTCTGGGTGTTTTTAGTGGATGTGTAACTTAAACCAATGTCCTTGACAATTCAACCTGTAACACACACTGCCATGCAGCAATACCCCCATCCCCTCCCTTTTTGCTTTATAATAAAGTTCATTTACTTTTAAAAAATTATTTTTGGTAAGTTCCTTTTGTGAATTTTGATTTTCATTTTAAGCGTGAAGCAAAGCTAAAGGAAGGCAGTTGCTATGAAACATACATATGGGTGAATTAAAAAAAAATGTCCAAACGCATATTTATCAACCCACAATAAAAATACAGGCAATGAAAATAGATTTCTATGTCTCAGCATATGTCTTTAGATAGTGTCTAAATACCTGCCAAATATCTCGTTGATATCTCAATTAACAAAAAAGTTATGCCCAAAAATGATGCTAAAATTGTCAGGAGTGCAACACCTTTTTGTGACATTTTGAAATTTCAATATTTTTGGAGATCTGTGAAATAAATAATAATGCTTTATGTGGAAAATAAAGACTTTCCTGATAATATTCAAAGTATTGAGCTTTAAATGTGTGCTGTAGTAACTTTTGTTTAATCAAGTTGTGGTCATGGCTGATGTTTAAAAAAATGTTATACCATGTCAGGAGTGCAACAGAAAAAATGTAGTGTTGCCAAAAAAACATCAATTGTAAAATTCTGAAAGAAAATTAAGACAAAAAAGAATTTTCAAATTGTAAAACAATAACTGATATACATTTTAAAACTAAAAAATGTTATATAAATCACAAGCAGCATTAATTAGAGTCAAGTATATGTGCATATCCAGTAATGTCAGGAGTGCAACATTTGATGTTTTGCTCCCAAGCATGAAAAAACTATTATCATTATATGATTTTCTGATTTTTATTTTGGAAAAGAAAGACACAAAGAACATTTTTACCAAATAGATTTATCAATTACTGGATCTGTCTGTGCTTCAGATCTATATTTCTATGGTCAGGAGTGCAACACATTTTTTTAAAGATTCAAGTTGTGTGATGAAAACACTTCTATTCATGCCTAGACATATTCATTAATTAATAATGATCTTTTTGTATGATTTAATACTAAATTATTGACAGTTTTATTATTAAAATCCTTCCTTTTTCAATTTTATCAATTCAGATGTGTTTTTATCTTTTTTGTGATTTTTTTAATGAATGTTAAAAATAAACACACTAAAACATTGTCATAAAATTCAAGTAATTCCTCAACTTCACCGAAACAACGTACAGGACAATTTAAGTTCTTATGTAATTTTCACTTCACAATTCTACTTTAAAGGTCCCAATGGTTTTGGTTAGGAGTGCAACAAATATGTTAGAATTATAAATCATCCAATAAGAATAAAAATAAAGAAAAAATTATGAGTAGAATTTTTCTGGTGGGTTATTGTGTTTGTCCTCTAAAGGAAAATATGCTATAAAATATATTTTATCTTCTAAATATACATTTAAGCTAGTTTTTTGGCATAAATAGGGAATAATTCCAGATAAAATGTGAATTTTAAATACTTTCATCTGTTTTAATTATGAAGTTTTGGACTACAAACATTGCATAGTTTCATTACCACTTGATGTTGCCAACACTTTTTGAATTTTTGTGTTCTACGGTTTTAATTTTAAATTTTACTGCAATCAGGACTGTGCAACAAAACTGCTTTATATAATTACCAATGCTTTTCAACTATCTTTACTAAAAAATGAGTTAAAAAAAATGTTTGATACTAATTGATGTTCAAAACACTATGTCTATCAACAAATTACAGAAATTTTCTAATCAATTCAGGGAATAGTTTTCATCATTTCACAAAATTATAGTTTTATATACAATTTATATATATTACACTTTGCAAGTAATCATATCTCAAGGTCTTCAATATATGAAAAACCTACCATTAACGATCAAAAATATCAAAACTCCAAATTAATTTACAAAGTGAGAATGGGTTATTGTGTGTTACAATTTTTAAAACGATGTTAAATAAAATACATATCAGATGTCAGGAGTGCATCACAATAATGTAACATAGGGTCACTTCAAAATCTAGTATTTTCTGTAAGAGAACTCGTGTATAAAAATTCTTTTTTGGCTTAGATTTAAAGAATTGGCTTGAATGGACAAAAAGTGAAATTTGGGGAATTTTATTGCTTCATATTTTTTTCATATTAAAACTTTTCAAACCAGAATTGAAAAAATAATGTAAAACAACAATCAAAAAGCCAATTTTTTGTCATACATACAAGAGAAGATACTCAATCAAGGTCTAGATTTAATCATTTGTACCCCTTTTACCATTTTGAAGCATAAAAAACTATAATTTCTTGTGATTATGTATTTTAGAAAGTCTTTTAAGGTGTAATGATATTTCTTTTTTTCAAAAGAAATTTTCCTAATAAAAATTCTGAAACTTTTTAATCCAATTGTCTATTCTATTGCCACTTCAGGATTTTAAACTAGAATGCATGTGCAATATGATGATATAAGTGAAAAATATGTTAGAAGTAGTTGAATTTTTCCAAAAAATTTCAGTTTGGTGGTCATTTTTTTTTAATTCACCCATATCAAGATCAGGATACGTCTTGTTACTTATATAAAATGAGTGAATAAATCATCTGATTTCCTAATAAGAAGGTAACAAAGATGTTCACTTCACAATTCTACTTTAAAGGTCCCAATGGTTTTGGTTAGGAGTGCAACAAATATGTTAGAATTATAAATCATCCAATAAGAATAAAAATAAAGAAAAAATTATGAGTAGAATTTTTCTGGTGGGTTATTGTGTTTGTCCTCTAAAGGAAAATATGCTATAAAATATATTTTATCTTCTAAATATACATTTAAGCTAGTTTTTTGGCATAAATAGGGAATAATTCCAGATAAAATGTGAATTTTAAATACTTTCATCTGTTTTAATTATGAAGTTTTGGACTACAAACATTGCATAGTTTCATTACCACTTGATGTTGCCAACACTTTTTGAATTTTTGTGTTCTACGGTTTTAATTTTAAATTTTACTGCAATCAGGACTGTGCAACAAAACTGCTTTATATAATTACCAATGCTTTTCAACTATCTTTACTAAAAAATGAGTTAAAAAAAATGTTTGATACTAATTGATGTTCAAAACACTATGTCTATCAACAAATTACAGAAATTTTCTAATCAATTCAGGGAATAGTTTTCATCATTTCACAAAATTATAGTTTTATATACAATTTATATATATTACACTTTGCAAATAATCATATCTCAAGGTCTTCAATATATGAAAAACCTACCATTAACGATCAAAAATATCATAATGTAACATAGGGTCACTTCAAAATCTAGTATTTTCTGTAAGAGAACTCGTGTATAAAAATTCTTTTTTGGCTTAGATTTAAAGAATTGGCTTGAATGGACAAAAAAGTGAAATTTGGGGAATTTTATTGCTTCATTTTTTTTTCATATTAAAACTTTTCAAACCAGAATTGAAAAAATAATGTAAAACAACAATCAAAAAGCCAATTTTTTGTCATACATACAAGAGAAGATACTCAATCAAGGTCTAGATTTAATCATTTGTACCCCTTTTACCATTTTGAAGCATAAAAAACTATAATTTCTTGTGATTATGTATTTTAGAAAGTCTTTTAAGGTGTAATGATAGAATGCATGTGCAATATGATGATATAAGTGAAAAATATGTTAGAAGTAGTTGAATTTTTCCAAAAAATTTCAGTTTGGTGGTCATTTTTTTTTAATTCACCCATATCAAGATCAGGATACGTCTTGTTACTTATATAAAATGAGTGAATAAATCATCTGATTTCCTAATAAGAAGGTAACAAAGATGTTAGACGTAGAGTGTAATTACCACGAAAGAAAACAGAATAACGAACCCTGTTTTTAAATGAATGTATAATCTAGAAACGCTACTGAGGGATTCTGAATACAAAAACAATGTCAGTCACGTACCCAATGGAAATGAAGTATTAAATTAACTGTTTTATTTATAAACTAGATAATAGCATAATGTAAACTAGATAACAATATACCTTTCTATTTAAAAAAATCCACTTGCCCGATCGGACAAGTACGCTGAAAGCTTCACTTGCCCTTACTCAGAATCTTACCCCGGGCAATCGGACAACCCTTAATGTCAATCCCTATTTCTGCAGCCTTAATTTCTTGAGCTGCTAATACATGTCATTGATTAATTTATACCAACTAATTACAGCTAAATTGTACTATAATTATACAGACAACAAAACCAATCCTGAAACCTAGTCACATTAAAAAAGACACATTTAACATCAAAAGAAATATCAAAGCATGCACAGATCTACCTCCAAAATTACATATGCTTAATAAGTAAGTAATCAACGACATTCTTGTTGAATAATTACTTAAATAGTAAATCTACACCATCAGAGGAGAGTCTTTAAAAGCTAAGACACCATTAGACCAGCTGAAAAAGTCTCTAGTAAATTTATTAATTTGAATTTAGAAAAAACTATTAAACATTATAGGTAATAAAAGATTATGAAGCTCACCTCGACGAATGTTAAGTAAGGCAAATTTAACATCATATTTTTTTCTCTAAATGGTGTACAAGATCCCCAGATCAATATCCATGCAAGTTTGGTTTAAGTAGGACTTATAGTTACTTGGAAATAAGATCTGCTCCAAAAACTTTTAACCTGTTTACTAATCAAGAAAATTTTAGTCAGTTCCAATATCCAAAGCAATTCTGGAAGTTTTCATCCTTAGATGCACCATCTATGCAAGTTTAATCATAACAGGCCATAATATTATATAGCTACTCCAAAAAAATTACCCTGGTCACTCATCTGGAAAATGTAGGTCAGATTCAGAATCCAAAGCAAGTCGCAAGTGTCCATCCCTAGATACATCATCCATGAAAGTTTGGTCCAGGTAAGGCTTATAGTTACTTGGGAATGGACCTGCTCCAAAATCTTAACCTGGTCACTCATCTGGAAAATCTAGCTCAGATCCAGCATCCAAAGCAAGTGTGGTAGTGTCCATCCCTAGATGCATCATCTAAGCAAGTTTGTTCAAGGTAGGGCTTATATTTTCTTGGGAATGGACCTGCTCCAAAAACTTTAACTTGGTCACTCATCTGGAAAATCTAGGTCAGATCCAGCAACTGAAGCAAATGTGGTAGTGTCCGTTCCTAGATGCATCATCCATGCAAGTTTTGTCCAGGTATGGCTTATAGTTACTTGGGAATGAACCTGCTCCAAAAACTTTAACTGGGACGCCAACGCTAATGGTATAGCATAAGTTCATCTCGACTTCGTCGAGGTGAGCTAAAAAGCACAATTTTAATGAGTAACCAATTAAAAAAAATTTTTAGCTGGTATGAGCGAGTGATAGTCTAGTACTCGAATACTCATTGACATCCCTATTGATTACCCACCTGGAAAGAATGTAATTTGAAATATATTATTTTAAACGGCTATTTCAACCTCAATATCATGATCTCAGTTAATATTTTAGTTTAAGTAATTAACACAATCATATAAATACAAGTCTTACCCATCATCTCCATTGACTGAAGACTGATCACTTCTAACAGGTGACTGTGTGTCTTCTTGCTGAAGCCCTCCTCTGGGAACAATTCTAACCCCTGTCTTATCCCCCTCATACATTAATGGTAACACAGATCCCCTCCATTTAATACTCCTGCCCATTTCTATACATTCATCACTTTTGCTTATTCCTGAAGGTTCTAACTTCTTGGCTAAGACTACAGGATCCAAGCCCTTGCCTATTAATACAGTGGGATTATTTATTTCCATCAACTTCTGAGTACCGTGTTGCTGGACATTCACCTTGGACTCTTGACTAGGATCCAAACCCTTGTCTACTAATACAGTGGGATTATTTATCTCCGTCAGCTTCTGAGTAGTGTGTTGTTGGACGTCCCCCTCAGTCTCTTGACTAATGTTAGACACGTTACTCATCTGGGACTGTAGCGAGGTATTACTCCCACCTGTGCCATATCCACTCGACATGCGATATTCTTTCCTTCGATTTTCAGTGTCCATGTTGGAGTTGCTGTCTTTTCTATCTTTTACTTGGTCTTGAAAACTTACGGATCTTCTGAACTTTGGTGACTTATCTTTAGTTATTGGCAATGGGCCTACTATACTTTGATTCTCCTCTCTATCTCCCTGGCTTCCATCCTTGGTTTCCCCATCTCTTCCGGAACTTGTTGAGATTTTTCTAACCACCACATCAGGAGAGTCTTCAGAATTCAGTTTTGCCTCTAAATCTCCCTCTGAATGAGTGCTAGCACTGCTCAGCACGAGATCTGGGAGATTCGAGTCACTCTTACTCCTCTCCTTTCTAACCTCCGAGTGGATTTCCACCCCAACAAAGACATCATCGTTCTCTCTGTCAGAGTCCTCCTCAAACTCCTTGTCATTTTTTGAGGTCCTGAATTCTTTTTTTCTCCTCTCACCTTCCCGGCTGATTGTACGCATAAGCTGTTCTTTAATATCTGCTGCTGGTTCTTCTGGACCATTTCCAAACAGCTCCTCTTCACTGACTGAAGGCCTTGTTCTGCATTCGGTTGCCATTGTCATCTTACTCTTGTCTCATTCTTTTATTTGCACCATATTTCCAGGATGATCATAACTTTCATTACTGTAACAAAAATAACATTTTTTCAGCAAAAATAACTTCATAAACATTTCATATGAAGCAGGGTTGTCCCTAAGACCCGGGGAATTTCCCTGCTTATAATTATATAATCCCCTGGTTACTTTGGTATTCCTCCTTAATCCTCTGTTAGCAGAGGAACCCCAGATCCCCTTCTACCATTTTAATGTACCCTGCTATTTTTATTCTTAGGGACGTCCCTGTGAAGATTAAGATTTCATATGAAGAATAAGCCAAGAGGCAAGAGGGTACTGATGGTCATCTGAAAACCATGAATCTCTCAGGCTATGTCCAAATAGTTCTTCTTGAAATGGGACTCTGCGCCCAGGTGACATGAATTTTACACACTAATGGATGATTTTTATTCATAATCTGAAACACTGCATGAAGTGTTTCTGCTAAATCCTCAGGGGTAAAAATTTATTATAAAAATAATGTGGGATATAGGTTCTCACTGTCAGGCAGAAAATCTGTTTATATTTTGATTGGCTATAAGCATGAGACTGTTTCTGGTACATTTTTTTTTTGCATTCTACACAAGACTAATACATAGCATATCATAATGTGAAATGAGTCTTTTAGTCAATGAGCCTATTTGATACTGTTTATGCAGGGGAAAAAAACCAAATGCTCTAGTAGATATTATTACTTATTGTGGCTGATTAGCTGTGGAAATATATACAATCTCATTCAAAGCTTGGCTGTCAAAAATAAACCCAATAAATGAACTATTCTTTCTCAAGGACCATAATGTGAAAGACATTCCTTTGCACTAAATAAATACCAATATCCCTGGTATCCAGATAGTTTGGCATTGGCCATATTGGGGGATATATATTAACACTTGCTGGTGTTGCATTAAAATTTTTTTATGTCTTACTTTCTGAAGTGCAACCATTGGCAATCTAATACTTTTGGCATACTCATTGTTCAATTTATTCCATTGTCACTAGTGTAAGGCCTTAATAAAAAAAAAATTCCTAGATTCTCATTCCCACTGGCCTCTTTTTTCCCCCGCCTTGATTTTTTTTATTTCTGTTTTTCTTCGTCTTGATTCTGATACGGATCGGTATTCAACTTACGATTCAACTTTCATTTTAAATACCAGGAACGCCAGCATGATATTGACAGCTGACAAGATGGTAATTGCTGTTATATGTATTAAAAAAGATCATTGGTTGTGAAAGATTGGTGAAGATGTGTAGTAAGAGATATTTATATCCTAATGGACCTCGATCTACTTGGATTTTTATTTAGGCATAACACTCAGATGAATCTGCACCGATTGATCAAGTCAACAGAAAATCTGTACAATGGAAGAAATGAAAAGAATATAAAATGAAATCTGCCCACCTACCTCGATTTTTCAAAAAAATTGGATGAGAATCCAGGAATTTTTTCATTTCATGGCGTAAACAATAGGGATGTGTGATTTTATCGGTATATACCAGTATATTATGATTTTTAATTGTGTGATATGTATCGTGATACGGAGACTAAAATACCGTTATAGGTACATATTTATAATTTCCAGAAAGGATTCATTTATTTGTTCAATCTTTCAAATTACAATTACAGGAAGTATAAATATGTTGAAAACGGTTCAAGAATGGCAACTTAGCATCCAAAACTGCTTGATATCATGTAAATAAAAAAAGTGAAGTTATGTTTTTCTAGCATATTTTCCGAAAAATTACGAATATTCATTTAAAATCATTGTAAAAATTGCTTGTAAAAATATCATGATGTTATCGTGATATTTTGGGGAAAATCGTAATATATCGAAATTTTTGGCGATACCCATCCCTAGTAAACAATAATTTATGTCCCAAAAATGATGTAAGATTTAGTTTCTTGACTATTTCCAAACACAGCCCAGTAAGTTAAATAACAGTGAGATAATTGCAATACTAAGTATTCAGTCTGAGGGAAAATAAATTCGTAGAATAGAATATAGAATAGTATTAAACACTTTTCTTCTGATTTCCTGTCATATATGCCATATGGGATGCAGTGCGGTATTGCCCGATATATATTATCTTATCAGGAACATACATACTAACTTAGTAATACGTCCTTGATTTAACTATGGTGGTAAACTTTAAATACAGAATCAGGTGACAGTGTAAGCGAGCTTTAGTTTTAATTATCAAGAGATTGTGGCAGAATTTGTGCCAGATCTGATAAACGCAGACTACACAAGTTTCCTGAAAATTGTGCAGAAGGAAGTAGAATAAAATGTCTGATCTATTGATTAAAATGTGTAGATTGTATCATCATCTTGGCTAAGTTGATGTATTCAAATAGGGTTAAAACTTAAAGTGAAAGTGCACACTGAACGTTTTCAGAAATTATTTTAAAATAACTGTGGTTACTCAGTTTCGATTTACCGACGTAACAGGAAATAGCGCAAAGTGATAACTGTAAACAAAAATGCTTGACATCTACTGATGACAAACCTATCCTATAAAAGGAGGATGTAAACATACCGCATCTTTCCAAGAATTTCTCGCCATTTCAACACATTAATCGACGTGAAAAAAATGCTTGACAATAAAAATCTCACCAAGATGTTTTCATGAACTCAAACGTTTTAACGACTAAGAAATTACAACGGTGCTTCTACAATTCATTCTTGGTTCTTTTTCGGTCCCTAACACATCTTTTTATAAATAAAATTACTATTATTAAACATCAATTTAAAAAAAAAAAAATTCGTGTGAGCTTCTATATCGAGTATTAAGGAGTTTCCACACCCATGTGACATAACTGGATTTTGCAAAAATATTTCATTCATGTGATGTATCTGTAAGGGACCTATAGATCAGTATTGATTCCACTCTAAGTTTTCTTTTATTTTGTCTTCTGTTAAATTTGCGCAAAAGTATGGAAAAAAATTTTGCAGATAAATTTTTATTAATTCCAATACGTGCAGTTCTTGAATTAATAAGCAATTTAAATTATATTGCTCTCATATGTTATTTAATTTAGGGGAAGACTGACTTTGAAAGAGGAGAGGGGGCTGGCCTGGCAGATTTTGGAAATAAATAATCTGTCCTCGAAAAAAAAAATTCCACTCTGTAATACATATGGGACCTTATAGGAACCTGTACTTCTTCAATTCTGTAATGCATGGGTCCTTTACCAATTCCTTATAGGAACCTGTACTACTTCCATTGTGTAACGCATGGGTCCTTCTAGGGACCTGTACTACTTCCACTGTGTAACACATTGGTCCTTATAGGGACCTGGACTACTTCCACTGTGTAATACATGGGTCCTTACAGGGACATGTACCATTTCCACTGTGTAATAAATGGGTCCTTACAGGGACATGTACTATTTCCACTGTGTAATACATGGGTCCTTACAGGGACATGTACCATTTCCACTGTGTAATACATGGGCCCTTACAGGGACATCAGACCTGTTTACCCATATTGTTGACTCTCAGTATTTTTTATTAGATTTGTCAGTGAGATTTGGCATTTAACCGTAAGATTTTACTTTCCATTGATCTTACAAATATATTTACATATATTACTAGAGAAGCCACCGCGTTTTGACAACCTGGCATCACTTAAGTGTTTGAATCTTTCTTTTTTAGAGATTAAAAAGCTTCAAACTAAGACAGATCATAATGAAAACTATCTGCTAAAATCCAAACAAACGGATTTCCGTATTTTCATTAAAGTAAAACGTGAGACGTATTTAGGACTCAAAATCCATACAAAATACGGCGAAATCGTAAGAGTAAACAGGTCTGGGACATGTACTATTTCCACTGTGTATTACATGGGTCCTTACAGGGAAATGTACCATTTCCACTGTGTAATACATGGGTCCTAATAGGAACCTGTACTACTTCCACTGTGTAATACATGGTTAATTACAGGGACCTGTACTTCTTCCACTGTGTAATACATGGTTAATTACAGGGACCTGTACTACTTCCATTGTGTAATACATGGGTCCTTACAGGGACCTGTACTACTTCCATTGTGTAATACATGGGTCCTAATAGGAACCTGTACTACTTCCATTGTGTAATACATGGGTCCTTACAGGGACTTGTACTTCTTCCATTGTGTAATACATGGATCCATACTTGGAAGTCTGTAATTTACTTGTTTGAGGAAAAACACACCAGTTTCTGTAGATATTCTCTTCTGCTTTGAATTCGAAATACATGTAGTCTAAAAAAAAATCTGCTTGTACTTATAGCAATTTCTTTGTTCCTTTTTGTTTTCCTGTACTATTTGCCTGTACTTCTTGTTATTTTCAAATAAAATATGTGGTAAAATAATTCCTTTGTTTTTAAAGTTTTTCTCCCAAAAGTACTAATGCTTTCATCTTTGACCATCTGAGTTAAAATCCAACACTATATAGTCTTGCATTTTATGTACCCAGATAATCCTATCCTTTTATGTTTTCAACCAAGGACAAACTAGTTAAAAAAAAAAAGGTTGAATTTCTTTGATGAGTTTATTTATGGTTGACTAAAAACTGATGAAATTAAACATGGATGTACACACTCGCTCAGTTCAGAAATATGTGCACATTGACTACTTAAACAAAATCTATATTGGGTCTTAATCAGTATGTCACACAAAAGCAAAACTGTATTAAAAATATCCATAGTATTCAAACATTTATTCCTATTTGTTAACTCTTTTCAAGCTCCACCACAAATTCTGCATAGACAGCTTAATATCAATCAAGAGTGTACAGTGCATGTACACAATTAAATGTAGGTAAAAATTAGCTAAATTATTACTAGGCCATGTCTAAAAATCTCACAAATATATGCAATCCATAGCAGCAACTAAAAGTTTAAATTTGATATAATATAATGTGTTAAGATACTTTACTTGTTATAATCAAGGTTTCCATTCCAGGACATATTATATTCTGGGCCCTAATTCATGATAAATTGTATAAAATATCTGTGGTATGGGGACTAACATCCACAAGTCAATTATACAAACTTGAATGGTGTGTGTGTATGTATATATATACATATATATATATATATATATATATATATATATATATATATATATATATATATATATATATATATATATATATATATATATATATATATATATCTGTACAGTTCATCACCATGACATGTTCTATAATATTATCAATGCTAATAGTTGAAAATGATCTCAATACATTGTCTCTCTTTAATAATTTGTGTTTTAGATGAATTTCTCATCAATGTCTCAAAATAAAGCAACACATATAATAGGCACAGCTAGAATTTCTCAATGTAAGCTCAATGACAACAACAGTTAATAAATGATAAAATACACAAGAAAATAACAAGCAGCATGTTGAATAACAGTCTTCAGTGTGAACACAAAGATTATACAAGTATGAGGTGGAATAGCACAGGTTGTAAATGGTCAATACACTCATATAGACAACAACATACTGAGAGGAATCCCTCCCCATGGCCCTCCAGTTTTAACTGTGGACATGAAAACCCTCCAGATATAAACGACATCCTTCTAACGTAGCTCCACACAGTGGTGAGAAATTACCTCAAAAGCTTCTGTATAGGAATACAACTTCAAAATGACTTCATGACTTGTGACTTAGAAATGACTTGACCACTTGCGACTTAGAAATGACTTGATGACTTGTGACTGGGCATCTCACTTGCTGAGTGCTTCAGTTAATCATACATGTTTATACAGAAACATGGGTTAACACACATCAGAGTGAGTGAAGGTATTCGTGCTTCAATAGTTCCTCTATGCTTGGTCTCTCTTTTGGATCACGGTTTAGACATTTCTGAAAAGTAAATGTTTTAAGTTTTATCTAGTAATAACTTATTTTCAAAACAAACTTAGAATAAAATAACCTTGGAAAATAACTTCCCAGAGATCAACACTAGGTTATATTAATATCAAACACGATGCATCAACACTAGATTATATTAATATCAAACATGATACATCAACACTAGGTTATATTAATATCAAACACGATACATCTACCAAGGGGATATTGCTACCTTATTTCCAGATCATAAAGACTTGGATTTTTTTCTGATTTATAAAAGCACATTCCATTTCGCTGATGGGAGAAAAACATACAGGTACTTAATTATTCTATCTGATTTCTTATGCATTATTCTACACTATTTGTGTCAATGAGTGATGTTGAAAGTTTTGAAAATCTCTACTTCCTCAGTTCTATTAAGGAGGCCGAGGAGTCAACAAATTAACCATCAGATAGAACTTAATTTTTTAGATATGATATCTTAAGCTGTCAACTATCATTTGGCAAACAAAAATTTCATACATTTATGATTTTAGTTTTAAAATTTGATCATTTTTGTATATCTTTACATGGAGCTCTTCTTCTAAAGGAGATCAATATAGTCTGAAAATGGCCACAACCACCCAGCCCTCTTAAGAACTACACAGTTGCCTGTGCGACAAGAACCATTTGTTACTGAAGTGTGTGATCCCAATAGCACTTTAAACTTTATACTGATGAAACAGATATTTTTTTTTACATGAATAAAATGTATCAAATAAAATCTCAAACATGTTGAGTCTTTCTATATTTTTTTGACAAGATTTTAAAACAAGATTTTTGAGATTTCGGTATGTTTTAAATCTCCTTGATTTTTTTTTCCTATCATGAGATCGTATCAAACATCCTAAGATACAAAAAATTGCCCATTCTTCCTTTTAAATTGTACAGCAAAGCAAGGCAACTTTATCAAATGAAGCACACTCTTAACTCAACACTGCATCCTGATACATCTCTAGGGCAAAAATTCTTTAATAAATTCATTCCTCACCTTCATGACGTCCATTAGCTTCTTGTCTTGAATCTCTGGAAACTTGATCTCATATTCAGGGTTGATGATGGCGTGAAGCTTAGCGATCTGCCGGACCACTTTCTGGAAAGGGGTGTGTCCATACACCATACAGTATAGAATACAGCCCAGGGACCAGACATCAGACTTCACATTGATCTAACAATTAAAACACAATTCAATCAATAGTTACAATAGCCTCTTTTTCTGTGTGACATACCAATTTTTGTTTAGAAAATATTTTCAACATCTTAGTTTTACCTCTTCCTCTCTATATGACAGAATTAGTAAACCAATTTACAACGTACCTTGAAGACAGGCTTATGAGAGTCCTCGTCTGTGTACCCACAATGCTCTCTGATGCTCTCGGGGGACATATAGTTCAGGGTGCCCACCTGTGTATCTGTGATAATACTGGTCTTGTCTTGCTGGATGGCTTTAGATATCCCAAAGTCAATCAGCTTCAAGTTACCATGGCGAAGGAGAAAATTAGATGGTTTAAGGTCCGAGTGAATAATTCCTACAATTTAAACACAAAGCTACACAATGGTTCTAACTCATTTCCAGTGCTAATCTTACACACATGATTTATCAACAATATTTTTTTGTATTTTTCAGGTGAATTTACAGATCTGAATTCTTGTTTAACTGAATAAACCCCAAAAATGTATATTGTCCTTACATTGAATAAACCCCAAAAATGTATATTGTCCTTACATTTATTTATTCTATGTAAGATAAACATCACATTATTCTTTCGTTACCCTTTCGTTACCTGGAAATGACATCTCATAGCTTCTATTTCATCTGTTGATATCAAACATCAAACACAGCTATATAAGTATTTATACTACATATTGCTCTCTGGCAATGACATAATGACATGTTTACCATATAAAGAACAAGGTACGCTTTCAATACAAATCTTGCCCAGTGTTTTTCAAAAATATGAAAGTGATGTAAGAAATTAAAACTCATGCTTTCTGAGTCGTTGAAATTCCATGCAGTAAGAACATACGAGGGTTGTCCCAGAAAAACGCAAACTTTTTGAATATTTCAAAAACTATTCGACCAAAATAAATAATTTGTTGCACCTTGTTGGGAAATGAAATTTTTGCTATTTTGACAAAATATTATAAAGTTTTAATGTCATATTCATGTAAAAATAGCTTTTAAAGGGTGTCAAATATCGGTGCTCGGTGCACGGCAATTTTTCGAGGTTAAGAAATAGCATTGTCAGAGAAGTTTTCTTTATTACCAGGCTATACGGAAATATAATGTGAAAAAATTACCTCCATTAAATCTCTCTGAGCTAAAGTACTCATGTGTAAAAATTCATGTATTTAGCGTCACAAATGACAAAAATATGACGTTTGATTCAAAAACACCTTTACTTAGATATTGTCAAAAAAAGTGACATCGGGCGAGAATGCGGAGCACCAAATTATCAAGCAGTACTGTTGAGCGGAATATGTCTCCTGTCCACATGAGAAAAAGATATGTGAACGATGGAATGACACAAACATATATCTCGGACACAGATTGATTCTTAGTTCAAGAGATACGAGGATGGCTTGACTGGTTATTCGATGGAAGAAGCATTTGGTAGACCAACAAACTGAAAAGTCAGAAGCTGGACGTCATACGTGGCGACGGCTGTGTAACTGAGAGAGCAGTTAGGTTCACTTATGACCTGGGTTGGGAAATTGTTAAAGTTTATTAAAAGAATGAATTCCGTGATCTTTTGGAAACGCAAATTAATGGCTGAGATGGATAACTTGATAACTAAAAGAAAATTAAATACAGTGTCGAATTTATGCTTCGAACGAATTTTATTAGACGCATGATTCCATGATAAATTCACAAACGCCATGAGTTACGTTTTGACGTCGTCAGTGTTGCGCGACAGCTATTTTGTAAGATTCGTTTACCTGGGAGAAAAATGTTATTTACAGAGATATTTTATTGAAATTTTTATGCATTATTCAAAAAATGTTGATTATGGTGTATGCCAATTTTTAACTTTATAGTATTAGTGAAACAAAAGATATTGAAAATGTTCGTGTTTTTCTGGGACAACCCTCGTATAAATCATTTTTCTCACGACTTCCTAAAGGCTAATTGTGACGTCATAAACTTGTGCATTTTCCCATATTTTCTTAAAAAGTTGCAGAAGGCATCAATTTTCAGTGAAATATTCTCTTAGATAACATCGAGCACATGCATCGCTCACAAAGATTTTCAGAAATATAATTTTTCAGAGGATTTTACACAAAATCCAAAAAATTGCAGTGGGCGACAGCTGTGGACGCTATTTTCTAAAGGAAAATAACCCCAGAATTGAGTCATTTTGATGCTTTTCTGTTTAAAAGTTTAAACTTAGAAATGTACCAAATCAATGACATCATAATTCCAGAGTGGTCTTCTTTCAAGCATTAAATTTTTAGGGCACAATAAAGCCCAAACCATACCTTCTTCTTACTTTAAATCATATATATTCTGCTAATAGCTCCCCTCCCTATATACCCTTCATTAAATTATTTTACTGGTTAACTTATGGTTACTTCTGTATGCCAAAAAAATTGATCCTTTTGAAAAATTTTCTCGGAGCATTTCAAATGAGCTATGCTGATGAACGATTCCGAAGAAGTGATTCTGATGGAATCATGAATATTGTAACTTTGTTGTGTACTCATATCAATTCATCTACCTTTACATTACTTCAGTCTGTTTACTGAGATAAGAGTTTTCTTATTGTTCTGTCCAGTAAAATGGATTTCAAATACAATGGGATTCATATAAAGCAGATCAATCCAACACATTTATATAATTGCAGCATATTTTTGGAGTCAAGATACAATATTGACTTTGAATTGACCATTAAGATTTCATGTAATTTTTCAAAGTGTGACTTCTCCCAGACTGATGCATGGATGGACAGGTACTAGACAAACCATCGAGTCTGTCATGCTACATAGGGCTGTATTTGACATAGATGATGAAAATCAAAAAGCTAAATTTCATGAGAACTTGTAGTTTACACTTCATAGACATGTAGCTGTTGCCCTGCTTGCAGCATGATGTGCCAGGACTATTTCTCGCTGTCTTTATAAGGAACCAACTCAATGATCACATCTTGGAATTCCAGCATTATCACTCAGCATCCATTTAATTCTACCTTACTCACCTTCTTTATGAAGAGCTCCTACTGCCTGCAGCATGGAGTGCCAGTAGAACTTGATATATAGAGGGGACAGGTGCCCCTCCTGTTTGATGGTGTCTTTCAGATATTTATCAAAGTCCAATTCCCCACACTCCATTAAGATGTAGAGGAGATTCTCAGACTCTTTATATTCACTGTAAGTACAAAGTTCATGTGCTTCATGTTTCAAAACTAAGTATGTTTTAGTAGATATTTGATTTTTTAATTATACTCTTTATTTCAAACAGGTATTCAATGCTCGTCAGATGCCTGATTCATTTCTTATGACAATCAACAAATACAATATTTTTTAAGACTGCGATCTTACAAGTCATGCAGAGTGATAACTTTTGGGCAATACTGTAGTCGTTTTAGGAGCTGAATTTCATTTTTGTAGCCCTCAATAATTTGTTTGTTCTGGTCCTCAAGTCGGACAACCTTCAGAGCAAGGATTTGTGGATTCTGTCCAGAGTGGTCAATCACTGTGTACACCTGTAACCAATGTAGAGTTAATTTACAAATGTAACATTAAAATCCAGGGAAGAACCTATTCCTAACCTGAACTTATTTACAGTATTGATAATGCAATTTTTTCCCCCACCAAATGTTGTCTCAGAAGTGGGTGAGAGTTGCAATATACATTAGCCAAAATATGACAACCTCTCTTCAGGGTGCCAATCTTGCTAAAGCATTTGATTTTTGCCATAGCAGTGAACATCAACCATATTGTTTTAGGTAATACATTTGATTTTAATAAGGAAAAAACTTCCAACGTTTATAGATTATGAAATGTATTATTATCCTTCAGAATAATAAAGTAAATCTGATTGGTTAAGAGCATGTTACATGCGGGGAGACAATTTGTGATGTCTTCCTCACACATAGGGTGATAACTGTGTTTTCTGTGGCTAACATAGCAGCTAGGTGGTTGATATCGATCTCTATTGAACGGACAGCTAGCCTAGCTGCTAAGCATTAGATTTTGAATAAAGATTTATCAGCAAAAACTTACTGTTGAAACAAAACAGTTTATTTCAAGCAAAAATATATGCAAATTTACATTTAATTCACTAAGATGTGGGAAATAACACACCTTTTTGTTTAAATCTTGTATGCTGCAAAGTTGTAACTAAGGAGGTCATCTTCGATTTGGTACTTAGCATTAAATATTTATGCTAGCTCTCCCTATGTAGCAGCTAGGCTAGCTTAGAAAGGAGAATCTGTCATGTAGTACAACTGGATGCAGAGAAGGCATTTGATGCTTATCATCAAAGCTTTTTAATGGCAATTGCTCCAATGAATTAACAAATCTAACAACTATATTTTAACTGAGTATAGTTTACATAGTGAATACATCCCACTGATACTATATTACTTTTTAACACTGAGTTGTTGTTCTAGCTATATTTTTAATGGAAGAAGGCAGACAAAGGGAGACAACTTTTTATTTAATACAAATTTCTTGAATTCATCAAATCTTGATCATATCCAAGGAAAGAAAAATGTGAAAATTACAACCTGTGAAATTAATCCCCTATACAGTATTATGGACTGTTTAGTAGGGAGACATTATATAAATATTGCATGTAGTTGAGTGTAACATTGAAAATCTTCACCCCAAGAAAAGTGGTTTTCGAGGTGTGAAAATTTTCAATGTTACAATCAACTACATGCACTATTTTTTATATTATACTGAATGTTTTATACAAATACATATAACAGTAAACCTTGCACGCATAAATTCTGCACAGTCACTATTTTTTGGAATATCACCCGTCGTCAAGCAATGTTGACTGTTGCTACGCTGGAGGGCGTTGCTTCATCATTCAGCGGGTAAGAGTGTTTTTTTTAACAAATGTTCCTCGACGAATCAGATTCAACTAATTTACATGAAAGTATAATATCACAAATCATCAGATCTGAGTAGGGTTGTCACCCTTGGATTACAGCCCAACTCTCACCGGTTATTTATGATGTCCCCCTTCTAAGTAGTCCATAATTGTATAATACCAAATGTAAAGCATGATTTCATTGTCTTTATTCTTGACTATTAATATATCTTTTTTAATTGGATTCATTTAATGACAAGTTTTAAAATATTTCATTAAGTTTCAATATCGAGATCATATGAACGATATTTAAGAGAGCAAATGCCACATTTTGATAGTTTACCTCAGCAATATATGCTTAAAAATTATTATCTTCTCTTTTATTTTGGAAACAAAATATTTGGCGTGCTTATTATATAAATGCATAGGATGTTTTTTTTTTTTTACAGAAAAATTGTACAAAAGTGGGGGCACAAATCATACACAAGTGTATAATTCAGACAAAAATACCTTTAGACTATGACCTCACTTAAGCAAACTAAGGAAATTTTTTTACAACTAATATCTAAAAACTCAGGTTAACAAAACTAGACATAGCTAACAACATAAACCACTTATATCTAAGACAAACCTCACCTTGCTGGAGCCACCATGACCCACACACTGTAATACTTGATACAGCTTCCCATTTACATACATAGTCTCCATGGTAGGCACCTAAAACCAAACATACAATAAAGATAGGACCAAATCTTAAAACCAAAACTGCTATACTGAGTAACAATTTCTAAATCAGTGATATGTTGAATAAGACAAAATTACTTCAACATCAAATTAATTTCTTGAATACAATGACATTTACACTGAAACTAAGAAGTTGGATGAATATTTCATGACTTTTGAATGTTATTCAGAATTTTTTTGATATCAAAGGAGAATCTCCACTTTTAAATTTATATACAGTAATGCTTTATGTCAGCTTTAATTAAGTATCATATCAAACCTTTGGTGAAGGCTTTTTGACAGATTCTTCTGCAACTGGATTATTCCTGGAAAATGAGGGGAAATTAACTTAACAGTAATACTGTGAGAATTGAAATTTGAATGAATTACACTTTACACACTGCAATACACAAATACAAAAACACTTCACAAGTTTCAGTTTTCTCACTACTTTCCTTAAGCATATATGTTCAATATATTTTACCTAAAAAGAATGTGTAAACATTTATTTTTTGCACTGTTCATGTTACCCGTACTCACTTAACATTTTCATTCTGGGATGGTTTCACTTCTGAAATTTTTTTAGGTGGTTCCACAGTGGGTGACTTTTGTTTTGGAGGGTTCACATTTTTAGGTGGCTCTGTCACTGGCGATCTTACAGGTGGTGACACATGTTTTGGTGAGGGCACAGTTAGGAGTGGCCCCTTTTCCTGGGAGGTTATCATCACAGGATCCACTTCCACTTGAAGTCTAGCCTCATTTTGAATTGGTTTGAGTGGCTCCCTATGTGGCACCTCTTTGAGGGGGGAGATATCCTTTCTGTGGGGTGTGGTGTAAGAATTTGTCATAGTCATGTAACCAGAAGTGTGGGCCTGGGACCCCATCAAACCTGAGAACAGATACATTTTGATAAGTAAACACTATACATTCCTTATTTCCACTTTCGTGCATATTTGTCAATATTTACATTTGCCGTGTTTTCTACTAAGCCAACTGTGTAATTGATTTGAAAGTCATTTTTGTGTATACTCACGTGTAGAAATATACACAGTGAAACTCGCCCTAAAGTGACGTCACAATGAGGCTACAGAGACGTTAATAAAAATGTAACGATATAGGGCAGCAAGAAATTCAAATATTGAGTATATAATTGGTGCTTTTAAACTTGTAAAATGTAAATATAAGGAATGTTTTTAAGTTTAGTGTGAATTATTGGTGTGCAAATCACACAGACTTGCACGTAGTCATATTTTTCATGAAGCGCTAGCGCGCTTCATGAAATATGCCTACGTGACAAGTCTGTGTGATTTACACACCAATAACTCACACAAAACTTAAAAAACATTCCTTAATTAATTCTGCTGATCTTAACTCAAGGTCAAATTCAGAAGTGAAGATTACTGGATGATTAGATAGTAAAATGGTAACTAGCTATAACAGTCAAAACCTCAGGTGGAACGTATTCAAATTTGAATAGGATCTTGTGGCTCTAGCCAATGACATCTAGGTGTTTCATGACCTTGACTCAAGATCTCAATTTAAAGGTCAAGGTCATTGCTCCACATGACATATTGAAATTCTGTGTAGACTATGTCTTTTGAATCCCCAGTGAAATTCAAGTCTGAGTATGTTGTTGCTGATGACATTAAAAAATTGCCAGGTCCTTAACTCAAGTTTAAAATACAAAGGTCAAGGTTATATCATCAAGGTCTTATAGCATAAGCTAGAGATATACTGGAGTAAGGGAGACATCCTTATGCATTTTGTTCCATAAAAAGAGTTGCCTACATAGAGCAGAAGGTTAGAGAAAGGTCTTGCTTTTTTACTACAGTCCTAGTGTAAGGGGTTGATACACTTCATTTTTCAAAATTCTATCATATGTCTGAGTTATTTTTTATTGTTAAAATCATAATAATAATTGTACCTATTTTACAATTTTCTGTATATGAAACTATCCAATAAAAAATGTTTTCAGCTGTCAAAAATGAACTATAAATAGATAATAAAATAAAAAAAACCCATATACATGTATGTTTCATATCACATCTGATATCAAACCAAGACTATTATCAGCCACTTGGCCTATGGTGGACTTATATTGAAGTCTTCCTACTTGAAAGATTTTTATCAAAGAACATGTTGAACTTGTAATGAATTTAACAAATATGCCGTGTACCAGTGAAGGATTGTCCATCGAGTGGGGTAAAGCTCGGAAACCCGTTCTCCCCGTCCTCATCCTCCTCTTTCTCTGACAACTCACTGAACGGTAGATTGAGCTTCTTCACCCTCTGGGGCAGCAAACAGGTCTTTGGCCTGCAGTACAAATTATTTCACTACAAATATATCCTATTTCTCATTGACTTTTAATGAAATTTCTAAATATGTAGCAAATGCTAACAATTTAAAAAATTATAATGCCATTTTTTTTTTAAAATTCAGCTTTCGCTTATTAAGAGTAAGAAAACATTTGAAGAATAATAAAACAACCTATAAATCAAGTATCTGCACTTGGATGTATTGCTGACAAAAAAAACTTTACTTCAACATGGCTTTAGAGGAGGAAGCCCCTCGTAATTCTGGGGTGCTGTGTGCCTTCCGCATGACAGGTTTTGCTGACATGGACAATTTGGAGGGGTTGGGGTGGGAGGTCAGTCTATGGCTGATAGGGGCTGTATCCATCTCCATGTCATGATCCATTGGAATAGATTCAGGCTTCCTGTTTAAGATACATGTATCTGACTTTACAGACCATACAGCTTTAAGACTCAACTTTCCAAAATGCAAATTTACAGAGCTATCAAGCTTCTGCTTTTCTGCATTTATTTTATGAACCTAATGAGGAGAAATTTCCTTTCTCCACATTTTTACTCATTTAAATTCATGCCAATACAAATATGTTGTGCATTATGTATGCAAAAGTTGAATGGAGCCATGAAGGCCATATGCACATGAGGAAAGGTTCAAAAGATTGATGCAAGTGTACAGCATTTACTGGGTATAGGGGGAAAAACTGTCAAATATACAGAGGAGTAGAGGAGTGGTGTTATAACAATGATTTTTTAAAACAATCATAAATTGCCATTAATAGGTGCTTTGACATTTAGGAGATTGGATGAGAGAACGTTTTCTTTGCACTATCAATATGAAATATATTGAAAACATGAAACAAGGAAAGATTTGTCAATTTGAACAACATGACAGATTTCCAACTGGGAAAAATGCTGCACAACACATGACCAGTGATTCATTTTGGTGTGCGTCCTGCGTAAATTACGCACAAATTTTGCTCAGGACGCATTATTTCAATAAATGTGCATCCCAATGGACGCAATAAATTTATAGAAGGACATGTACTATTTTAAATTATTTCAGTAAAACCTGATTCAAAACTTGACCGATTGCATCATATCCACGTGCTAAGCGATATGCATGAACGATTTTAACAGGTATAAGGTTGCCAACAACAGGTCAGGTTTCACAACTGCAGTTAAAAGCAATTATCAGAAAATATTTGAAAGTTAGATAGCATAGTTCGATTATCACTGATTATGTCTATACCGTGGAACGTTTCTGAAGCGAATACTATACCTTTGTATTTAAGCTGTAACCTGTATCATTGGTTTTTTTCTTTTCATTTTTTCCTTACAAGCTAAGAAGTATAAAATTTAATCATTTTTATTTCTGACTATTTGTCATTATTACTTCTTATTTTTTTTTACTTCATTCTGCTTCTGTGCATTTTATGACTGATACAATGTGTGAGATCGTATGTACGATCTAAAAATAGAACCAAAGTGCACAGTGGACAATATATTATTTTTATGACACAAAATCGTGTATTCTTACTTGGACAATTGATAGTAAAAGACTAAAAGTATAAATCACTCACAACTACAGTAAAACATTTGCACTTTCGTGCAATACCCTTTTTTATTTCACCAGAATTTCCTCTGTAACATCTAATATACGGTACCCTTGGATTTGGACGCATTGATTTTGGCACGGGACTCATTGTTGTCATTAAGAGGGGTCCTTTGGACCCATGATAACCATTTTCAAAATGAATCACTGCATGACACATATATATATATAGAATCTCTCATGATTTGTGGTTGGGTACAATTTTTATCCGATTAGTTGTGTGTTTTCTATCCCGAAACCTTGGCGACAGGATAAAAAACACTTGTAACAAGTTGGATAAAAGTCAAAACTAACCACAAATTTATATGGGAGATTCTTTATATCACATGTTTTATGCATAACTATTAATGTTTTTTCACTGTTTTAATACATGCATCCACATAATTTTATTTCATCACTTTCACACAAAAACCATTGTGATGGCAATGGTACATGCATATGAAAAAAATATTCAGTGAGTGATGTCCATGGGATAAAGAGGTAAACATGTGATAAAAAGGTATATATCCAAATATAAGAACAATGTAAGACTAACTTGAAGTTGTGAGGGTGGCAGAGAGGTGTCTCTGTGTTTGTCCTGGAGATGGCAGGTGTGGACTGGGAAGGGTCTGCCTTACCCCCCACATGACTGGGTCTGAACACGCCCCCTGTGAGGTTGGAGTTTGTCAGTCCGCCTGTGAGGCTACTGCTGGTCAGATTACCTGTCAGGTTACGGAGGTCCCCTGTTGACTCTGTGCTACTGGTGCTGCTCTTATTTCCAGAAACTGTACAAAAGTCAACAGCACAGATTAGCCTCAGAGCATTGAAATTCAGCAAAAATCAACAGCACAGATTAGCTTCAAAACAGTGAAATTCAACAAAAATCAACAATACAGATTAGTAGGATAAATCTTCAATTTTATCAATTGATAATCAAAATTAAAAATACCCTGTGTACATGTATGTACTGATGCCCCATCCCCTTCAAATCAAGACAAGGCAAGGGAAAATTGAATATAAGAACACAGAATGGCCCTGACAAGATTTTAACATTTTTGATCCCTCTGAAGTTGGCCTTGTCCAAATGTCCTCAATTTAGGGTCATTACACCTCCCCAAGCCATAAACAACCTCTGTGCCAAGTACATGTATAAGTTTCTATTCTGATGTTTTTTCACTGAAAAGTTTTTTGAAAATATATTCTAAAATAAGAAAGGTAATGATCCTGTAAATTTGGAACTTTTCAGTATAAAAAATTATCCTTATCTATAGCCTTATTTAAGTTTTATAACATTCTAAAATATGGATACCTGTAGCACACTCAGCCAAGATACTGGAGGTCTGCAAGTTTGTCTGGCCAGCATCCAGTCTCTGGAAAGCCTCAGTCAAAAGATGATCAGGTTCTGCCTCAAACTGCCGAGCCTTCTCCAGAATCTTACGACTTTTACTGACATTTCCTGCAGCAACACAAAATACATTATACCTAAACCTTGTCCTCTTTAAATTTAACAAAACATGGACATGCATTTATAGAATCTAATCATTACTACTGTGCTTTCACTTAGAACATCTGGAAATTACTAAGGTTTACTACCTTTCATTATTTATACAAGTATTTTAATTAAGGTTTCTAAATTTTACTTTTTTTTTGTAAAAAATATAAAATAAAAATTTCCCACATATACAACAAAATTTCCCACAAACTGAAGAGAGTTAAAACTTTGTTGTTTGATAACTACATCTGACCTTTAGATAACTCATACTCGGCATGAGCTATGTGTACGATGGCTAACTTCCGCACAACTCTCCTGGCACAATTGAAAAGGTCGTCAGCTTCATCTGGCTGGAACTTACTAAAAATACAGAACACAAATTACTTACTCCATCTACACCAACTAATTAATTCACATGAATTTCTGTATCTTGAAAACTAATATGGTAAACAAAAAGGATATGTCAAAGCCTCAAAGGGACTCTGATATAAATTTTAGTTGCTACTTAGAATACCTTGAAATGTAAGAAATCACCATTTTATCCAGGTCCCACAAGGTCCAAAATTTTGTGGTTTGAATGTTTTTAAATGTCTTTTGTTTCATTTTACTTGACAGTGTAAAGAAAGACAATTAGAAACATAATATTGCTTTCAGACAAATAAAAATTTAACATTCCTAAGACTGTTTCTATCAAAACCTGATAAAAACTACATTTAAAAAGAGTTGCTTTACAGTATTAACAGTTCATGTCTAGTTACCTTTTCATCTGTGCAAACTCCACAAAGAGAGCACCATAGAAAATGTTTCCCTTATTTTCATCCCTTGGAATTTTCTAAAATAGTTAAAAAAAAAAATAATGAGAATGACTAGTACATTTTAAAATTGTTTTCAGTTGTAGAAATCATAATTCTCTTAATTTCCAAAGCCATTCTAGTAAAAGTTAAATTTCTAAAATTTAGAAAAAGCTTTAAGGCTTCACTCTAGCACTGAGGACAAACACAGGCTTGCTACTTTTAAAGTTATTTTTTTTTTCTTCTAATATAATTAAATCCTTCTTGAAAATTTAGGAACCCTTTCTGAACCCAACCCTATCCCATGAATCAAAATTTGAATATACAGGTGACTCTCGATGGCTCGAACTCTGATCTCTCGAAGTTCTCAATCTCTCGAAGTGAACCTCCGGTCCCGTTTTTTTCCCTCTATATAACTAAGCAAATTTACTCCCGATCTCTCGAACTCCCCATCTCTCGAAGTTCTCTATCTCTCGAACCAAAATCTGGGTCCCGTTACACACATTTCATTGTTTTTTACTCTCTATCTCTCGAAGTTTTGATTGCGCATGTATACATGTCAATCAAGCGTAAAATTAATGCACATTGGACTTACCTGGATAACAGTGAACGCCTGGGGCTGGGATGGACGTGTTAATTGGGTGTTTACATAAATGACACTACACCTGTGAATCGTCCGAGTGTTGATATAATCAATTGGTTAACTGTTAAATTATAAACGAATCGCTTCACAACTTATTTTGACTAGACGGGACAATAATTTTGAGGAAATAATTTAGGGACGTGTCATTAAATTTTTCCATAGATTATGAACTTTAATATTATTAGAGTCTACAAAATCCCAGTTTGGCAAACATTGCACAAGAAATCCTATCTCAAGAACTGAATACCGATTACGAACAATCTTGTGAAGGACCAATCAAGCCCGGGGGAGAGCCAATTAGATAATTGCTATTCAGGTTTCATGTAATCATGAAATGAGAACTAATAAATATTGAAACTTAAAATAATCATTTTATTTATTCAAAATACGATCATTGTTTTTGAAATCGAGTGAATTACCTGTAAAATATGAAAGAAAACGTGTAATGACATTATCAACATATACTTCCGGTATGTATAATAGTAGAGCAATGATGATCGGAACTGAAAATTCCGGATTTTATTTACTTTCTATCTCTCGAACCCCCCGATCTCTCGAACTTTTCTTACGGTCCCTTGAACTTCGAGAGATCGAGAGTCACCTGTATTTAAATTTTGTAACATTTGGCACCACAGTTCTAGATCAGAAAAGCTCTGTATGGTTTTTCTTTCTGACAGGTAACTAATACTTACATCAAATGCTGTCTCATACAAATCTGACAAGTAATTATGATGCTTGAACTCGTCGGAAGAATGTGCCTTTGTTGTCATATACCGCATAAAATCCAACCAGTCTTTAGGCTTGTTACCTCGACTTTGAATCAATTCAATCCATTCTTTTGGATCTACGTAAAGAACAAATTTATGATGTTAACAGGTGTCCTTAGCTACTTTAAACATGTTAAATATATTACTCTAACTTAACTTGCTGACATATACATATACATGTATAAAGAAGTCTTTGCAAAAGACATTGGACCATTGGACCTGACCGATGTACAAAGACTCAGGTCCGATGCATCATATATTTTATGGAACAGGAATGTCTGATGTGCCTCGTTGTCTGGTTTTGAGTTTTATTTTTTTGACACAGTCATAAAAACATTTGTTTTTAGAAAAATATTCAAACAAAGCTAAGTACGTAAATGAGTGTGATTAAAACTGCATGGACTTAAGATTTCCTTGAATGCATTTTTGCATGTTTCACTTTCTTACATGAGGTTTTTCGGTCTGACAAAATTTGGTTCGGTCCAGTGTGTTCCTCAATAAACTGTCACGTTATCAAATATCCTGTGACCAAAAAATCTTTCCCACAGATTGATAAACACCTCTACTGTTTACTTACCTTTTATTTCCAATGTTCCAGTGTCAGAATTTCCTAGTCTATTGAGTTTATTCCGTAAACTCTGGATATTAACTTTACTCATTCTAGATGATAAAAAAAAAATAATTAAAACAAAAATGACAGGTGAATGGTTTTGGTACTTCCTGATTAGTTGAAAATATATGAATTTACTTAGAAAATTGCTAATTCTGTCAAAACTATCGTTCAAAATAACAAATTAAAATTGACAAAACATTCGATATAGCTTATTTCTCATGAGTGAAAAATGACAATAAAAAGGAATAAATAGCAGTTAACATATAAATTTAAAGATGGTGTATACTGTAGAAATAGTAGACACGGTCGCGTTTATAAAAACACTGAAATTTATCATTATGAAAAGACATTGATATTGACCTACGGCTATGGCATAATTAATACGCACGTCCCAGTAAGAAAGTTGATGAATTGTCAATCGTTAAATACTATAGAATAGATTAGGAGCTAAAATACTACAAATTTTTCAAGAATAATTTTGCCAAATTCCGCAGACCTACTTTATTTTCTCCACCGACCACCGTCAACAGCGACGAGCATTCATTTCATTTGTTTTTGAGTTTGCCGGCTTGCTAAGAAAGAATGATTTTGATTGGACAAAGAAAATGAATACTAAAATCGTTTTGAAAATAAGAATGCTCGACATTATTATTTCCGGAAATTCATTCATATGACATAAACCCAAAAGTCTAGTGGGCAGTGTCGTATATTCCTAACAGACAAAAAGACTGAAGCCTACAATTTATTTCCCCCACAGTTAAAAAATTAGATTTGATTGAAAATGAGAAAAAAAGTTTATCATAGATATTATAGAACATGTATGTATACAATGTAGGTCCCTGCTATTAATATTATTTTTTTTGGTCGTCAAATACAAAAGAATGGAACATAAACATTAACTTTTTCGTCTATTCACTGTTTGAGTTTCCCCAAATAAAGAGGGTCAGGGCCAAGAATTTTGGTGGGGGGGGGGGGGGGAATTTATTCTGTAACATAGGGTGAAGCCCCGGGTACCTCCTACCTGAATTTTAATTATTTTAATTAAAAGTGAAATTTAATCTTATAATTAGCCTACGTACATGTAGGTGAAGTTACACTCCTCCTAGAAACCCAAACACATTTTAGCGATTTTCTGTATTTAAACATATTTTATTGAAACATAATCAATGGGATTGGACACAAGTTTTATCAACTTAGATCGTCCTTTCCAACGCAAACAAAATGACAAAAACAGATACACGTGATGTACAACCAACAAATGTACGATAAAAAAAGGTGCAAGGAAATAAGAAAGGAAGGGAGAAAGAGTGCAAGGGATTGTAATGGATACAGAATGGTTACGCTGGTTATTCATATTTGTTCGATTTTTTAATATATTTGTATATGGCTTTAACAATGTTGATATTATCATCGATGTGGTTTGTCCATTTCCCAGAATTCGAAAACGTAAGTGCAAGATGACAGTGAGTAGAAGATGGAACGATTTCTTGACTGTCAAAGAACCGGGTACGTTAAGTATAACAGAGCGACCCTGTCTCCAAATTTGATTTCAGTTTTTTTTACAAACATGTCTACGATGTGTCCTTTCAAAATCATTTTATTTTTTTTAATTATCACAAACCGTTTTTCCATCAGAGGTCTCGAAAAATGGGGAGTTTTCTTTAGAAATTACAAATTTTGATGTGATAACGTCATCACGGCGTTACTGATTTTAACGTTACGTTAAAAGAAATCTGTAAATTCTCTGAACCAGAAACTATTTACTTTAACCTGCCTTATGTTCCAGAAAACAATTTTGAGCTTTTATTTCAATTCATCGTAATGTATCTTTCAAAGCTGGAAGGAGTATAACAATTTAAAGGAAAATATAATTTTATTACAAACGATTTCATTTTATAGATCGTTATTTATTCATTCCAGTGGATCCACTTTACTGCTTGGTTTATGTAAAATACACTTTCCAGAAATAATCCCCAATATACCTACACACAATCACTTTCTATGTTAAAACCACAAGATGAGACCGGTTATAAGAGTCCTGATTGATGAGGCCATTCCAAGTTTTTTGTTTAGAGTCCATCCAAAATTCTAAAACCTATCTTCCTATCCGAGAGAACACACAAACCAAGAGGGGAAAAACCCAGCATTTTCAGAACAGTCCTAGAATTTCTTATTATCATTTGAGACCTCTCCTCGCCATAAAACTTGGTTAAACTACTAGTTTATTGAAATAAAATACACCAAAAAAAAATTAAAAAAAATACACCACTTAAAAAAAGAGATGTCAATCCCAAATGAGTAAAATGCATTTCAGAGATTCGTATGTATTGATTTTAATTTGAGTTAACTTTGTGTTTCAAATCTTTGTTTTTATCAATTTTAATTTGTGTTTTTTTTTAATTTCATAACCTCAAAACCAATTCGTCCGCGTACACTGCACATAAAAAAAAAACAACTTGGAATGGCCTTATCATAACTTGCGTTACAGACCTTGAAAAATTTTGCTTCAAATAAAAACCGTGAATCTCCGAAGGCTTAAGAAAAAGGGTGTGCGACTTGTTTAGATCCACTTTTTGATGAACAAAATATTTTATATAGCCAATGCTAATAATTTAATTTTAGAAACAAACACAGTACTTTGCATGTACATACTCATTATTTGATTAACAAAATCGAAAATTATATGCCTAAATCTGTGTAGTGAATTCGACAAGAAATGCACACGAATTCTCGGGAAGGAATTCAGAAGCTTGTAGTACACTCTAACGGGCATAATTCCCTAAAACTAAAAGTTATAAAAATAAGGATATAATATTATGTGTATGATTTACATATAGAGTTTATCCACATCAGCTATGAAAATATGCACATGTCGTCTTCAAAGCAATGCAGCATGAAAAGGCAGACACTTGCATTGATATCGATCAGTAAAAGATCGATCAACGGTCACCGTCGAGTGAGGAGCCAAAGGAAATTTGAAAGGGATGTTTAGTTTTAAATCAACACTGATGTCAATATTCCGATCAGCATGATAAATGTATATAATTAATAAGTGTAAATACATGTAAGAACTTTTCCATTCCCAGCTGCTGACCTTCAATAACTAGATGTAGGTCGGCAGTGGCAGATTTAGAAGTGTTTAGGAATATATAAAACACTTCCTGATTCTGCGATAAAACACTAGAATCCTTTCTGACATAATTAATTTTGTCAAATAAAAATCTGCAACAATACAGTGACAAGGAGAACAAGTTTTGAAAAGAAATGTTCAAATGGTGACTGCTATACGCCAAGCTTCCCATCTACCTGCCCTTTCCCCGCCCCAATCATTAGCTATTGTCTTTTGACATTCATGAATCCCAGACATATATAAATTGAAAACGAATAAAACATACTTAAGAAAGCTGATGATTTTCAATAAAAATGTTATGTTAAAAATAATCTTTTCTTGAAGTCAAATAAAATCAATGTCCACTATATGAAGGAGGCGCGCGTTTTAATTGGAGGAACATGTAGTGTTAAATGTAAATCGATTGTCTGAACCATCCCAACTTACTGTCGTTAAATTACTTTTTCATGCTGTAAATATTGATTGAATATTTATCATAGTTGCGAAGACTAAAGAATTTCTTTCAAGTACATATATTCAACATTGATTGCTCTTTGTGACGTCATTTTTTTCAATGCATTGCGTCACTAATTTAAATGTAATGTCCCATAGTAAATTTCACTGAGAAAGGTTTATATGGTTTTTATTTGCATAAATAATTGTATCAAATTAATTTTTTTTTCAAAGTTGAATTTAAAAGACAATAAAAATAATTAAGCCTTCAGATATAGAATTAAACAATTAATTTCTTTAAGAATATAGATTTTATTGTGGAGAAAAGGTGACGTCTATCCAAAAATACAGCATTTTTTACTTCAATTTTTTTGTAAAAACGGATGTGGCCGCAGGTTTGTAAGGTTATTTTTTCTCTTTAATATTAAAAATCATAGTGTATTTGTTCTTTCTACAAAGTTTCGCATACATACTCGGATGCGGCCATATCGAAATATAGACTTGAAGAGGGGGGAAACGTCCAAAATGGGAGGATTCCGGAATATTAGACCGGTTTTAAACGTTATATAAATGAAAGGGCACGTGAGTTGAGAAAAATTTACTCCTGTTTTACACACAGGGAAACCTTAACAGTTAATTGATACAATTGATAGGATGTAATCGTGCGTTTAATTTTTGCCGATTTTACAGGGCCGTAAATCGGTCTTAACGTACCCAGCTCTTTAAAGCTTAGGTCGGACACTAAATCTTCACTACAGCCAAATATCAATATTTTATTTTTTTCAGAATTAAATTTTACAAGCCACTTTTTTTTTTTTTACCATTCATTAATTTTTTCTAGATCATAGTTAGTAAGTCTTCTTAGTGATATATATTTATAATCAAATTATGCAAAATTTCTCATCAGAGAATTTCTTGTATGTGTATTGTGGCAATAAACGATAAAGGAAATCATTTCTTCCATGATATTGATGGTTTGAAAAGTAAAATTTTACAATAGTGCCAAATCTTTATCTATTTAGTTAACGTACTTTGATAAATCTTGATTAGTATTCCCCCTCTATATTTATACATATGTAACCTAATTTTTGAAAATTTGAGGGGGGGGGGTTGCTCCCTCCCCCAACGCCCCTTGTAAATCCGCCATTGAAGGCCAAGAAATCCAGTTATTATTTTGAAGATTGTTTTCATATTTTTCTCTCTATCTCCATGAAAAATTGAGACCCCATATTTTGGTCCTGTCCTAGCCCTAAGGGATCATTTCGTAACATAAGTTGAATCCACACTGAAAGAGAATTCTGAAGATCAATACTAATTTGATTATTGTCGTCTGGTTGTTTTGAAGTAGATTTTTGAAAGATTTCCCTCTCATCATATATACTTGCATTTTGTAAAATTCAGTTACATGAAATTTCAGCCCCGTCATATTCCCATAGTTCAAAATTTGAGCAAAATCGACTCGATTTAGATAAAACTTTGTACAT